GCCGTTAAGCGCTGGGCTGGCTGTCCTGCCTGAGCCCCTTTTCCTTCCCTTCATTTGTTCCAGCCCAGGGACAGCCCGCCTACAGTCTCTCCAATGTCCACCAGAGGGAGCCCTCGCCACAGCCCAGAGAGGCTGGTAAGGCCAGAGGGAGCTCGGAAGATCTCGACCTTTTTCTCTTTACCGCAGAAAAATGAGTGTAGAGGGGGATAAGGTTCCTGAGGGGAGCCTCCCGAGTCTGCTGGGTACAAAGGTTAGAAGCTGGTGTTATTCTGAGGTGGTTTGAATTTGGTCGCCCACCTAACTCTTTTGGTCTGTTGTGGGGGAAACAGTAAAGGGACTGTGAGGGAAGGCCTTGGGAAAATAAAAAAACAAAGTCATCCATTAGAGAAGCGTAGTGAGGGAGGAGAGGGTGCCGCTGTCCGCTTTTCTCCTCAAACTCCAGTTGGTACTCCGCCCCGGGTTTTCCGGTTTCCCGAGACTGAGGGTGGGGTGGGGCGGGGTAGGGTGGAGAACCACCGGGAGCGGGCCGGCCGGCGCGGTGGGTGATCCCGGGATGCTGGGATTTAGGGTGAGGGCGGGGTAAGATGGGGAGCGGAACCCGGGCCCCATGACCCATCCCGAACCCCTCAGCCTGGGCTGTACCTTTCCTAACCCTTCCTTTCCTAGCGAAGATCCGGATCCCGCATCCAAGACCTCCCAACTCGACCTTGGCACCACGAGGGGGGCACAGCTGGTTGGCAGCTGGATCGGGGGACACTTCTCCCGCCTCCTTCCTCTATGACTCACGCAGGGGAAGGAGGCGGGGGCTCTCAAACGATCCCCCAAACACTAAAGAGACTCCCCCAAACGTGCCTATTCAGTTATCCTTCTGCCCCACTGCCCAGCCGCAGGGGAGCCGCGATGGAAAAGGGGCGATATCCCTCCTCGCCCACGCGTGCCACCACCCACCCACGACTCCTCACACTACTGAGAGGAAAATTTCTCCAACTTTTCCAGCATCAGTTAAGTTTTTCTGGGGTGTGGATGAGAGCGCAGGATGCGGCAAGGAGCTCTAGAGTTCCTCGGCTAGAGCCCTAAATCATCTTCTGTGTCTTCCTATTTTCCTGAGTTCCCCTCGCACCCCCGCTCCCCAACTCCCCGGAGTCAGCCCCGCCC